CAGGCAATATGCACCCCAAAAAACTAGTGTCCCCCCCCCCCCCGAAGTTGTCTTGTTAATCAGAAAGGTTTCAGTGTATCCAATCAGTGCAAGACAGGTCCTCTTATGTCATGTGACCAGGCATAGGAACTCTCTGCTCATCTGGAGAGGAGTCACAAGTCCCATTACCTCTCCTTTGTCTTCTTTCAGGTGAGCAACCGGCAGATAATTCACAAACTGTTCTTTGATGTCGGCCTGGAGGAGGAGTCCACGCTCGATGCCGAATCACTGAAGGTAATTGTACTATGGGTGGGGGAGGGGTTTGGAGGGCGGGGATAATGGACGCTCGGCTTCACTGTGTGTACTATTCCTCGAAATCATCTTCTGTGTTCTCTCATTGCAGAATGAAGTGGACAGAATAAAAGCAAGTCTCCACATCCGAGGTGAGTCAGACAGACAACTGCCTCCAACACTGATCAATACGTTTTGTATAATCTCACCATTGTGGGAGGGGCACAGACACAAACTACTGGGGGAAATCTCACCATTGTGGGAGGGGCAGAGACACAAACTACTGGAGGAAAGCTCACCATTGTGGGAGGGGCACAGACACAAACTACTGGGGGGAATCTCACCATTGTGGGAGGGGCAGAGACACAAACTACTGGGAGGAAATCTCACCATTGTGGGAGGGGCAGAGACACAACTACTGTTTTTGTTCATTAGATAAGGAGAAGCGGGAATCTCAGGACTTGGTGGACTCTCTGCGGGAGATGTTGGATATCAGGAACGTGACTATAGAATGTCTGGAGAGGAAGATTGGAGACCTGGAGATGCTTTGCTCATCTCTCAAGGTACTGAGGGCGGCACGGTGGGGCGCTCTGACTTATTTGCCGCCGTCTCTGTCACATTCTCATTTCTTCTTTTTCTGTCTTAGAAACAAATGAAATTTTTCGATCTGCAGCAGACGGAGGCCAAAACCGCCAAGGAGGAGGCCCGCAAACTGCGCAATAAGTTGCGCTCTCTGGAAAGGTCGGTTGAGGTGGAGCGGCGGGTGATTGGGGACGATGGCAGCTATCGGAGCTGTAACTCCTCCTTCCTGTATTTTCAGTATTGAGGTTCTGCTGCAGTCCCGGCGGCAAGAGGTGGAGGAAATGGTCAGGAATATGGGGTCCGGACCGTCCGCGGTGGAGCAGCTGGCCATATACTGCGTGTCACTGAAGAAGTAAGCTCCATCTATGACCACGTTCAGAGGGAATCCTGGGACAAGTTGGCGGTTCTATCTGACCTCCGGCCTCCACTTCAGTCTTCTATCTGACCTCCATCCTCCCCTTCGGTCTTCTATCTGACCTCTGTCCTCCCCTTCGGTCTTCTATCTGACCTCCGACCTCCACTTCAGTCTTCTATCTGACCTCCATCCTCCCCTTCGGTCTTCTGTCTGACCTCCGTCCTCCCCTTCAGTCTTCTATCCGACCTCTGTCCTCCCCTTCAGGAACATCCACTCCCCCAGACTGTCCACTCCCCCAGACTGACACCGACCCTTCAAAGCATTTTGATATTTGCATAGCCCCTCCCAAGAGCCCGCCCACTGCTTGCATCGGGGCTGAGGGCTCCGGAGAGGAGTACTGAGGCAGGAAGCTATGTACAGCACCACGTCGGCCCCTCCCACCAGTCATGATCTACCTGCATTGCATAGAGAAGCACAGCTCTCTAATGTAGTGTTCAGTTCCTCTGATCACTGTATACAAAGTATTTTTCTTTGTCCCGCTGCGGTGAGAAGATTCGGGATTAACAATGAAGGAACCATTGCAGCTGAGACCCCAGAACTCTGCACGGAGCCCCCTCTGCTATTTGTACTTCCACCCATTTCAGTGTCCGAGATTCTCTATATAAACGAATGTGGACGTTCCAGATTCCTTCACCGCCGGGGGTGCCGCTCCTATAAATAGAGTAATACCCTTGTGCAGGATGCAGCGTCTGCCGGGGGAGGGGGTGCTCCACTTCTATAAACAGTTTATATTCCCTTCTCTCGGCTGACCCCGGATACAACGCTCGTGTCTGGCACTTGTAGGGATCAGCGGGGTCACCAGAGACCTGTTTTAAATAAATAATTTATATTAGAGCGCTCCGAGCGG